CTCTTGCCACCTCTATTCAACACAGCACTGGAAGTCCTAGTCAAAGCAATTAGGCAAGTGAAAGAAATGAAAGGCATTCAAATTGGAAAAAAAGAAATAAAATTGTCTCTTTTCCCACATTACATGATATAGAAGATTTTAAATATGCCACCAAAACCCTGTTAGAACTAATAAATAAAGGGAACTGCAGCATACAAAGTCAACATACAAAAAGCAGTTGCATTTCTATGCACTATCAAAGATGATCTACCCAAAAAAGAAAGAAAGAAATCCCATTTAAAATAGCATCAGAAAGAATAAAACAGAAATAAACTTAACCCAAGAGGTGAAAGAGCTGTATACTGATAACTATCAAAGAGTGATGAACAAAATTGAAGATACGAATGAATGCAAGATATCCTGTGTTCATTTATTGGAATAATTAATGTTAAAATATCTACACTTCCCAAAGCAATCCACAGATTCAATTCTAATGGCATATTTCACAGACATAGGAAAATAAACAATTGCAAAATTTGTATGGAATCACAAAATACTCTGAATAGCCAAAGTAGCTGTATAACCAAAGCAAGTGAAATCAGCAATTGCAAAGATATCTGCACTCCCATGTTCACTGCAGGATTATTCACAATAGCCAAAATATATGAAAACAACCTAAGTGTCTGCCAACAGATGAATGAAGAAACCGTAGTACACACACACACACACACACAAACACACACACACACAAAATGGGTTATTATTCAACCATAAAAAAAGAAAGAAAACCTGTCATTTGCAACAACATGGATAAACCTCAAGGGCATTATGCTAAGTAAAGTAAGTCAGACAGAGAAAGACAAACTCAGCATGACTTTATTTGTACTGGAATCTTAGGAAGTTGAACTCACTGAACTTGAGAGGAGAATGGTGGTTACAGGGACCAAGGTGAGGGAAAGGGGAGAGGTTGGGAGGTTGGCCAAAGGGCACAAACTTTCAATGATAAGATAGGTAAGTTCAAGGGATATAATATAAAGCATGGTGAAGTGATACATATAAACTAATTTGATTCTGGTAATCATTCTACAACATATATGTATATCAAATCATCACATTGCACATCTTAAAACAATTTTACTTGTCAATTATACCTCAGTAAAGTTGGGGAAAAAGAAAAAGAACCATAATCCCAGAGGGTCATATAACTACCTACTCCCTGGGCACACCTTGAATTTATCATTACCTAGAACTTTTTAATAGCTAAAATCATAAATTCTGCAAGCTTTTGCCTGAGTACAACCTCCTATCATTACAGTTTCAATTTCCTTACTGATCTACTCCAGTTCTTACAGGTAAAGTTAACTACCTAGAAAACTTTTAGTGAAAATTAAATGAAATAATGTGTATCAACAGCTTAGCACAGTACCTGATACACAATAAGTCCTCAATAAATCATAGGCAAATTTTGATTTTCACTATTCTATTATGAACAAATTATCTGCCAATACCCAAATTGTCTTCAAACTCACTCTCAACCTTTGTCATTAATGAAATTTGTCTTTTATTTGACACTACTATTATACATTCCTCCAAATCCTTTTAAATGAAGGCCAGACCCCCAGAAATTCTTCGAATCCAGAAGACAGGAGAAATCAGTACAATTCTAGCTTCTCAAGCACCACAATCTCCACAAATCTTAGCCATTTCTAATACAGTTACCCTACCTTGCAATGATCAGAAACTGTTTCACCTCCAAAATCCTAAATGCTTGAAATTTCCCTGATTAAAATAGAATGTTCTTTCAACTCTCCCACTCTTTTTGAACTAGATCGTCTTTGTCACCATGGCCATAAATCTTCTAGTATCCTCGTCCACCACTTCAATCTTCTTCTTCATTTGTCTCCTTTTCCAGAGTTGATAACTATTTGGATAAATTCCCTAGATCTTCTCTCATTCTCACCTTGACAACACTCAGCACTTGAGCACTCCTATGCTGTGAGCACTGCTGGAGAAAGTCACTACTAGAGCCAACGTTAACCAGGGCCTCACTATTCAGCAATTATTAATATTTTATTCGATGTCTACTGATACTTTACTGAATTTCCTACAGCACCTTTTCCAAGCCTACTCCATTCTTAATCTCCTAAAGCCACATTTTCGTCTCTCAGCAGATGACCTTATACCCAGAAGATACCGACATCCAGTGTGAGCTTGCTCCTCTACCTCCTCTGTTCTTTGACATCTCTCTATATCATCAAATTCTATCTTGACAAACTCTGGCCTTTGAAGCAAAGTATCTCCTCTTTGCCAAGGTTAATTTCTCTACTTGTTCTCTTGATTTTACCACTTTCTTACAAAATATGGTTATGAGTCCAGGTTCAGGACTCAAACCATGTGATTTCAGATCCAGCTCTACCTCTTTACTCCTGTGTGACCTTGGAGTTACTTGACCTTTTTAAGTTTCTATTTCCCTACCTGTAAAAAGGTGATTAATAACAGTTCCTATTCATAGGGCCAATGTGAAACGTAAATGAGAGAATCTACATAAACTGCTTAGCAAAATTCCTAGCATATAGTCAATATTCAATAACATAATAGCTGTAAATACTATTATCTTTCCCTCTATATACCTCCTGGTACATTTTCCCTTGTCTCCAAAGTAGCTCAAGTTTCCTGTCTCCTGCTTTTTGTTTGTTTGTTTGTTTCTTTTTTTTAATTAAAAGATACCTTTTCTGGAATTTGCTACCCTCATTCCAAGATTTCTTTCCTTCCTTTCACCACCAAACTTCTCTAAAGAGTAATGTGTAACTCCTTTCCAGAGGAAGCAAGGAGGAGTGGAAAGATTTTGCAGACAAATATACCTGTTTGAACTTAGTTATTCCACTTAGTAGCTGTATGATTTGGAGCAAGCAGTTTTTCTAAGCCTTTGTTTGTTCATCTGTAAAATGGATATATTATCCATTTCTTAGGGTCATCAAGAGGATTAAAGTAAAATAATATATGTAAATCATCTGGCCAAAGTAGGTGCTAAATGAATGCTGGTTCTCCATCCCTTATTCTTCTCTTAACCCCTTACAATCTCGGCTGGCCCTCTACCACTCTATATCTCTTTAGCTCACTTCGGCTCTTATTAGCATGGTTTTGAACGATCTGACTTCTCTAAACCTTAATTTTCATCTGTAAAATGGTAATAGTACATACCACATAAAGTTGCCTTAAGAATAAGTGAATTAACACATGTAATGTGTTTTAACATAGTGCCTTGCCTGGAGTAAGTACTTAATAAATGATAGCTGCAGTAACTTATTAATGGTGAAATCAAAGGACTGTTCAACTCTCTTCTTAAGTTTCAATGCCAACACACCATTCTGGTTTCCTTTTTGCCACTCACCATTCCTTCTGTCTCTGCACCTCCTCCATGAAGCCTTTCTTTACTCTCTTCAAACCAAGTGTGAGCTATCTCTCCTTTTCACCCTCAGAGCACTTTGTACTTGTCTTGACATAAGAAACTTCCCTTACTCTGAATCGTAGTCATTTGTATTATATGTGTTATATCTCCAGCACTTAATTTCTTTTGTCCTCATCGCCAAATTTCTTTTGTCCTCATCGCCAGGCACTTTATTCATGCAGAACATGTTGACTGCCTAATATACATCAGACCTGTGCTAGGTACTAAGGTGCCAGGTACTGAGGATACAAAGGTTAATATAATTACTGTCTTCAAGGAACTTATAGTGTAAGTAGCTAGAACAGACAAGTAAGTAGTCCATTATCTGCAGTGAATAAATGCTTGGTTAAGATTGTGCCCGGAGACACTCTTATACAAGGCATTTTTATGTTTTTCACATGGGGAGGCTGTACACAAATACCTGTTGAATGAATGAATGAACTATAAATACAACTAGATAAAGATGGGAAAAGGCACTTTAGGCCCAGAAAAAAGCATGTAAAAAAGCATCGAGGGGTCAAGCAAGTAGCTCAATATTGACAGGAGGAGGGTTCCTGAGTGACAAGAGATGAAGCTGGAAAGTCAAGGCAAAATCAAGTGTTCTAGATGTAAGAATATGACCTGATCCTACAAGGGAGATGGTGGCGTGCCCATAAACGTTTTTACATAGGGGAGGGGCAAAATCAGAGTTGCATTTTGGTACTGTGGCAACACAGAGGAAAATGGATTACATGAGAGCCAGGCTTGAGGCAGCAAGTTCAGGTAGGAGGTTGTTGAAAGAACTCAGATGAAGTACGAGAACCAAAACTGCAAAAATGAAGTGAGAATGGTGAATCAAGACGGACACTGCCGATTAACCTTCAGCTAAACTTAATTGTTCATATTGTATCTCCTGCAAGCCTAACAGAATATTTTACACTTAAAACCTGCAACGTAAATATCTGTAAACTACCGTTATTTAAAACTACTTAGGGAACTGCAGCAAGCAGCCAGCTGAGTCACTTACTGTACACGGATTCCCAAGTGAAGGCACCTTTTCCCAGCGTAAAACTCGAAAGAAAACAGGTTATTCGAGCACAGAGAGTAACAACACTACGTGTAAACCGGCGCACTGCTAAGAGACAACAGGACGTCTCTATCTTGGTCTGTCTCACCCCAAATAATGTTTCAACAAAGTCCTTCCATAAGGTCATGAGGCCTTGCCCTGTGCGCCGAGACAAATCCCAAGGATATATATTTTTTTCTGATTGTTGCAGCTCAAGACCGAAACTTCAACAGCGGCTCGTCGCCTGGCCAGCCATTTTTACCTAGCCGTTTCCCAGTTTTGTACTGTGCCACTGTGTAAATCAACAGCTGCAGGGGATTGAGGGAGCAGTGTCCCAGGTTGATAAAACCCTCATGGGAAGAGGCAGGTGTCTTGAGGCTGCAAATGATAATGATTGCAATTATCTCACAACCCACCTCCACCCGGCCCCTTGCTCCGGGGCTCCTTCGGAAGTTAGTAGGATCCCTTTTACTGTTACCGGGATGCTATCGGCAGCTACAGAAATTAAGCGAATTCGTTTCCGCTTACCCTGATCGCCGCCATGTCTACGACCCTTTCGGCCACAGTTTTCAGACGGAGAGCGGAGAGGGTCAAATCAGTTTAACTAGGCTCTCCTTATGATAGCCCCGCCCCGTTACGCACTTTGCCTGCCAGTTACCGCCTTTTCTCCGCCCTTCTCCGGCTGCCTTGGCAGCCGCCGCAGTTTTAGTCAGCTGTCTTCCAGAGAAACTTCACCCTTGTGGTTGACCCTCCCAGTCCCAGATAAAGCCTTTCGGAATATTATCCATAGTCCAGTTGAGAGTTATTTTCCTGGGAGCAGAACTTTTAATTATTTTGTTTCAGGCATATGTGATATGCCTAGATAAGGACTTAATACCCAAGTCTAGCTGCTTTAATAATTATGTAGTCAGAAAAAGAACTTATTACCTCTGCGAAACATGGGTAAGTTAATTCATTCTAACGCTATGTCACGGAGAGCTTACTCTATACTGGGCAGTTGTTCGGGGTACAGACAAAACATAGTGGCTTCCTCATAGAGCTTATGATTACAGGAGTAAAAGAGACAAATGCTGTGAATGAAAGTATAACACTATGGGAATGAGGTGGGACACTGGTTTATATCAATGAGAGAAAGACTCTGATAAGCTCATTTGAGAAAAGTCCTGCAGGAATTTAGAGGAGAGGGCTCCAAGCAGAAGGAATAGCAATGAAAAAATTCAGTGAGGCTGGAGCAGTAATTTCAGAGGTAGCGAAGTAACACAGTGTAGGGGCTTTCATGCCGCCAAAATAAATTTGGATTTTATTCTGAATAAGATGGGAAATAATTGGAGAAATTTGAGCAAGGGTGTGATGTGATCTAATTTACATTTTTAAAAGATGATTTTGGTGCTATCAGGAGAATATACTAAGGATATATTGCAACATTCACAACAGGAGCAAGGTCTTCCATAGGCCTCCATGAAGGATTCTGAGGAAAGAAGATGCTCATAATATGCCCAATATTAATTCATGTGTTCATTCATTGAGTCAACAAATACTTATTAAGTGCAAACTATATACTAGGCATTAGTTGATACCTATCACATTTGATACCCAAAACAGGTCCTTTTTTAACAGAGCTATCATGTAGATGACAAAATTATTTTAAGAAATAATGATGAAATGAAACTAATAATACTGGCCACAAAAGGAACATTGAGTGACTATTTTCTTTTATTGAACTTAATATAAACATATACATACATATATATGCCAATAAAAAATAAAATACAAAATAAATAGTACAGAACCAAAAAGGAAAAAATGGATCAAGGTGTTTTAATTGCATTAATGCATTTTTCAAAGGAAAAAACTTATATCTACACAGTGGTCTACCACAGGAATGAGTAGTAATATTACAGGTTTCTGTTTTTGAGCCTTAACTTCTGTGTGTTTGTCAATAACTTCATCAAAATTCAATATTTCTGTATATTAAATAAATGGTATACCTAGATTTGTCAAGCTAACTTTGTTCATAACTGATTGATGCACACTTTTTATTTATTTTAATATCAGTCAGGTTTGTTTCACAGTAATCAACAGATAGACAAATAGAAAAAGTCTTAAAATTGTGAATAAGCTTAGAATAAATTTATAACAATCTTATTTCCCCCAAATTTCAGGAATTTCAGTAACATCCATGTTTTGTTGTTGTTGCTTCGTTTCCAACTTTAACTTTTATTTTGGGTTCAGGTATGTGTTCAGGTTTGTTATATAGGAAAATTGCATGTCAAGTGGGGTTGACTTACAGATTATTTCCTCATGCAGGTAATACGCATAACAATTGATAGTTTTTCAATCCCTCCACCCTCCACCCCCAGGTAGGCCCCAGTGTCTATTGTTTCCATCTTTGTGTCTATGCGTACTCATCATTTAGTTCCCACTTATAAATCAGAACCTGCAGTATTTGGTTTTCTGTTTCCGCATTAGTTCACTAAGGGTATCCAGCTCTACCCATAGTGCTGCCAAGGACATGATCTCATTCTCTTTTATGACTGCATAGTATTCCATGTTATATATGTATTACATTTTCTTTATCCAGTTTACTATTGATGGGCATTTAGGTTGAGTCAGTGTCTTTGCTAGTGAGAATAGTACTGTGATGAACAGAGCCATGCATGTGTCTATATAGTAGAATGCCTTATGTTCCCAATAAATGGTGCTGGGAAAACTGGCAAGCCATAGGCAGAAGACTGAAACTGAACACCTTCCTTACACTACAATACAAATTAACTAAAGATGGATTAAAGACTTAAATGTAAAACCCAAAACTATAAAAACCCTGGAAGATAACCTAGGCAATGCCATTCTGGACATAGGAGCTAGCAAAGATTTCATGACAAAGACACCAAAAGCATTGCAACAAAAGCAAAAACTGATTAATGTGATCTAATTAAACTAAAGAGCTTCTGTACCACAAAAGAAACTATCAACAGAATAAACAGACAGCCTACAGAACTGGAGAAAATAATATCCAGCTTCTTTAAATTACTTAAACAAATTTACAAGAAAAGCAACCCTATTAAAAAGTGGACAAAGGACATGACAGATACTCCTCAAAAGAAGACATACATACAGCCAACAATCATATTTAAAAAAGCTCAATATCAGTGATCATTAGAGAAATGTAAATCAAAACCATGATGAGATACCATCTCAAACTAGTAAGAATGGCTATTACTAAAAGGTCAAAAATAACAGATTTGGGTGAGCTAACAGAGAAAAGGGAACACTAATACACTGTTGGTGGGAGTATAAATTAGTTCAACCATTATGGAAAGCAGTGTGGCAATTCCTCAATAAGCTAAAAACAGAACTACCAATTGACCCAGCAATACCATTACTGAGTAAATACACAAAAGAATATAAATTGTTCTATCTTGAAGACGCATGCATATGTTTATTGTAGCACTGTTCCTAATAGCAAAGACATGGAATCAACCTAAATGCCCAATCATGAGTTAGACTGGGTAAAGAAAATATGGTATATGTACACCATGAAATACTACACAGCCAAAAATAGAATGATATCGTGTCATTTGAAGCAAGATGGATGGAGCTGAAAGCCTTTATTCTTAACAAACTAATGCAGGAACAGAAAACCAAATATCACATGTTTGCACTTATAAGTGGGAGCTAAATGATGAGAACACGTGAACACAAAGAGAGGAACAACAGACACTGGACCCCACTTGTGGGTAGAGGGTGGGAGGAGGGAGAGCATCAGAAAAAATAACTATTGGGTGCTAGGCTTAGTACCTGGTGATGAAATAAACTGTATGACAAAACCCTTAACACGACTTTACCTATATAACAAACCTTCACATGTACCCCAGAACCTAAAATCAAAGTTTAAAAAAATAAGTAAATAAATAAATAAAAGCAAGATTAACTTTTTCAATAAATAGAAAAAAATCATAATCCCTTTACACCCATATTTTCCTATATGAATAATCAAGAATAAATCAGTGGAATGCATTTAATGCTTTCATGCCCTTATCCACAAATATAGAATTTATGATTGACATTTTTTTTATCAACTAAATGCTTTGATTTTATGTAAGAATGATCTGTAGGACACAGGGAACTGTTGTTTATGAGAATAAAAAGAAATATAATTCTCAGAAAATGTCTATGTGATATCACAATTAGTAACAGAAATATTTAAAAAGTCAGAAAAAAATATATATGTTGGGCTTGAGGCAGTGAACAACACAGACACAATCCCTGGTCCCAGGGAGCTTAAGTATATTTTGAATAGGACAGTAAATAAATTAACAAGATTATTTTAAATGTTGATAAATGCTATAGAGAGTGACTATAATATTTAGTCTCTGGTTTGGGGTGAAAGTTACTTTAGATTGGGAATACCTCTTGAAGGAGCAGATGTGTCAGCTGAGTCTTGAATAAAAAGTGGGCCTACTCCCGTTAATATCTGAGCACTCCAAGCAGAAGGAACAACTAATGCAAAGACTGGGAGGTGGGAATAAACTTACTGGAGCACCATGAGTAAGGCAGAAAGTGATGGAAGAGTCTAGTAGGAACCAGATCTACATAAAGAATTTGGATTTTCTTTTATTTATTCTTAAATATTCCTTGATTTATTATTGTAAATTTATCAATTGCCACTAACTGGGCACAAAAGGCAGCTTTGTATAATGGAGAGTATTAGCATCAAAATAAGATATTGCCCTCTAAAGGCAAAACCTTAAAGAAGTTGAGCTAAACCAGATGTTCCAAAAGCTAGTGTACTCAGGAGTCACCTGAATAATTTGATAAAATGAGAATTTCTGGATCCTGCCCTTGGATATTAGTATTTATTTGTTCTGATGTACGGGCATGTCTGAAGAGTGCTGCAGGTGTTTCTAATATGGATACTCCTTGGGCCACATTTTGAGAAACAAACCAAGTCCACTCATACGGACTATATAACTTACAATGATATGTTATTTTTAGCTCTGACATCCTAGGATTATGTAAGGGCTCTTATTTAATGGTATTTGGTGATCCTGGGCAACAACAGTATTCTTGAGGACACATGAAATCCTCCTCTCAGTGACTTTTATTTCCACTTCGCCTCAGCCATCCACAACAATGGCCATAGTTTTAACTCTGTTTTCACTAAGAAAACTACATTACTTCTGAAATTTTAAATTCAAACATTATTTTTTCTGACTTCAACTATTTTCCCTGGAGCTCTTTGATCCACACATTTTATTGGATTCCTCGAGCTCTCTAGACCTTAATATGTGTATTAGCTATCTTTGGCTACACAACACTTTATCCCAAATTTAGCAATATAAAAAACAAACATGTATTGTCTCACAGTTTCTGTGGGCCAAGAGTTCTGAGGTAATTTAGCTGGATGATTCTACTCATCTCTCATGAGACTGTAGTCAAGATATCAGCCAGAGCTGCTGTTATCAGAAGGCTTGATTGGGGCTTAAGGATCCACTTCCAAAATGGCTCACTCACTTTGGTGGTTGTTGATAGAAGCCTTCAGATATGCCATGTGAACTGCTCCATAAGATTATCTGAGTGACCTCATAGAGCTCATAGAGCTAGTAGGCTCTAGCTTTAAATGGAGGAATACCAAAGACTTTTAATACATATTTTAAAGCCACCACATCTCCTTTTTCACTATCTGTTAGTCCCTTCTGGTCTCATTTTCTTTTCAAACCAGCTTAGACCTTGTGGTACATCTCTTCAATCACTGTTTTGCCAATAGACTCATCTACCCAGTCTCACTGGGAAAGTTTCATTTTACTCTTTGAAAAAAACCCTACATTTTGGATAAATATACCTGACCTTAGACAGCTCATTCTCCTCTTCTCTATCATGGTTATGTTTTTTTATTATTTTTTTATTTATATAAATTTAGGGGGTACAAGTGCATGTGTGGATATACGTGGATATATTGTATAGCGGTGAAGTCTGAGTTTTTGGTATAATAGTATACATTGTGTTCATTAAGTAATCTATCATCCTTCACACCCGTCACACCTCCCACACTTCTGAGTCTCCAATGTTTATTATCCCACTCTATGTCCTTGTGTACACATTATTTAGCTCCCACTTATAAGTGAGATCATGTGATATTTGACTTTCTAAGTTATTTCATTTAAGATAATGGCCTACAGTTCCATCCATGTTACTGCAAAAGACATGATTTTTTTTTTTTATGGCTGATTATTATCATTAGTATCTGCCCACCTCAGCCTCCAAAAGTGCTGGGATTACAAGTGTGAGCCACTTCATTTGGCATCAACTTTGTTCATCTTTTGAAATAATCAACTTTTTGTTTAATTGATTCTTTGTATTTTTTTTTTGGCCTCAATTTCATTTAAGTCTGCTGAGATCTTTGTTATTTCTTTTCTTTTGCTAGCTTTATGTTTGGATATTGTTTTTCTAGTTCCTTGAGATATGACATTACATTGTTAATTTGTGTTCTGAGTTTTTTGATGTAGGCATTTAGCACTACAAACTTTCCTCTTAGCAGTGTTTTTACTGTATCCCAGAGGTTTTGGTATATTGTATCTCCATTTTCATTTGTTTCCAAAATGTTTAAAGTTTTTATCTTAATTTCATCATTGATCCAAATATTATTCAGTAATGTGTTGTTTAATTTCCATGTATTTGTATTTTTTCAAGATTCCCTCCTGGAATTGATTCGTAGTTTTATTCTACTTTTGTCCAAGAAGATACTGAGAGGGGAGACCTCCTCGCCTCCTTCTGCTTCCTAATCTCCACCTCCTTCTTCCCCTCCCCTCCCCTCCAGATGGGAAGGAGGGTGGAAAAAGAAATAAAATTCCAAAGAGGTTGAATCCGTGGTCAGTCGACTTGCTGATGCCACTGATCATGCCGTAAAGAGGCCCAAGGACTGAGAAGATGACTCTTTTTTTGGTTCCCAGTGTCTCTGCTATCTATAAGCCTTGAAAGAGTTGCAAATGAATGTTATCACTACCGGCCAGAGCCCAGCACTGGGTCACATCCATCACGTTTGCATGACACAGGCTCCCTCCTGGAAATACCTCTGCCAACTAATAATTTACTGCCTTTGTTTGTCTCTGTAAGCCCCTTCCCCTGCCTGCCCCTGCTCGCACTGCATATGAACTAGCAAATCAATAAAGCCAAAAGATTGTAAGGTTGAATGTACAGCCAATGGAAAATGACATTGTTTTTCCTCAGTTTCCCCTGTAGCACTGTAAGCCTATAACAGAGGAAAGAAGCTGCTTCTCGGGGAGCTTAGTGAATAAGGCTTTATCCCCGGCAGCTCCCGGCTGAATAAAAAACCACTTCCTTCCTCAGTTCAGTGTTCAAGGGGTTTGTTTCCTGCCACTCCTGCTTTAATACTTGATATGATTTCAATTTTTAAAAATGTATTGAGACTTCTTTTGTGGCCTAATACATGGTTTGTCTTGGAGTACATTCTATGTGCTAATGAGAAGAATGTATATATTCTGTTGTTGTTGGGTAGAATGTTTTATAAATATCTGTTAGGTCAATTTGGTCTAAAGTCGATTTTAAGTACAATGTTTCCTTGCTGATTTTCTGCCTTGATAATCTGTATAGTACTGTCAGTGGAGTGTTCAAGTCCTCCGTTATTCTTATATTGCTTTCTGTCTTTTTAGGTAGGTCTAGTAATATTTGTGTTATAAATCTGGGTGCTCCAGGATTGGTTGCAGACAGATGCAGGATTTTTATATTTTCTTATTAGATGAATCCATTTATCATTACATAATCACTTTTCTTTGACATTTTTTACGGTTGATTTAAATTCTGTTTTATCTTATATGAGTATAGCTACTCTGTGTTTTGTTGTTGTTGTTTTATTATTGTTGTTGTTCTTGTACTTGTTTTTTGAGAAGTCTCACTCTGTCATCCAGGCTGTAGTGCAATGGCACAGTCTTGGCTCCCCTCGACCTTTGCCTCCCAGGTTCAAGTGACTCTCCTGCCTCAGCGTCTTGTGTATCTGGGATTCCAGGCACATGCCACCATGCCTGGATTTTTTTTTTTTTGTATTGTTAGTAGAGATGGGGTTTCACCATGTTGGCCAAGCTGGGCTCAAACTCCTGCCCGTAAGTGGTCCACCCGCCTCAGCCTCCCACAGTAGTAGAATTACAGGCATGAGCCACTGCACCTGGCCTCCTGTTTGCTTTATGGTTTCTTTTTCCATAAAATATCATTTTCCCACCCCTTTACCTTTAGTCTGTGTGTCTTTAAGAGTGAGTTTCTTGTAAAAAGCATATAGTTAATCCATAGTTGTTTTTATCCATTCTGCAAATCTGTATCATTTGAATGGAGCATTTAAACCATTTCTGTTAAAAGCTAATATTGATAATTGAGGTTTTGTTCCTGTCATAATATTGTTATCTAGTTGCTTTGTAGGTTCTTTGTTTATTTTTTTCTCTTTTTGTGATTTGGTGGAGTTCCACCATGTTGCCATTTTCTTTCTTTTGTCATCCTTACTTGTGTGATTGTTTTACAAAATCTGTGAGTTTTATACTTTCATGGGTTTTTACGATGGTGAGTATGGATCTTTTGTTTCCACGTTTAGAACTCCTTTGCCTATTTTTTTAGGACCAGTCTAAAGATGTCAAATTCTGTTAGTGTTTGCTTGACTGGAAAATACTTTATTTTTCCTTAATTTATGAAGCTGTCCTAGGAGGATACATAATTTGAGTTTGACATTTTTAAAAAATTTAACCACTTTTGATAATTGAACCCACTCCATGCTGGCTCATAAAGCCTCTGCTAAGAAGTCTGCTATTAGTCTGCTGGGCTATCATTTATACATGACTAGACACTTTTCTCTTGATGATTTTAGGTTATTTTTCTTCATGTTGGTTCTTAGTCTGATGCCTATATATCATGGTGAGGTCCTTCTTTTGCAATGTATTTTTTCTAGATTTTTTTGAACTTCTTTTATCTGGATGTCTATATCTTGCTAGACTAGAACGTTTTCCTCAGTTATTTCCTCAAATTAGTTTTCCAAACCTTTTTCTCTTTCTTCTTCTATGTGAATATCTTTAATTCATTGGTTCTGTTATTTTGTATAATTCTATATTTCTCAAAGACTTTGTTCATTTTTAAAAATTCTGTCTGACTCGATTTGTAAGACCTGTCTTCAAGTTCCAAGAGGATTTCTTCTGCTTTGTCAAGTCTATGGTTGAAACTTTCAACTATATGGTTAATTATTTCAATGTTTTTGTTTGTTTGTTTCTAGAAGTTCTGTTGTGGTTTCTTTTAAATGTATCTCTTTAGTATATTTCTCATTCATATCTTGAGTTGATTTTCTGATTTTTTTGTATTGGTTTTCAGATTTCCCTTGTATCTCATTTACCTTCTTTACAATCTGTATTTTTAATTCTTTATCTGCCATTTTGAAGATTTCTCTTGGTTAGGATCCATTGCTAGAGAGTTACTGTGTTCCTTCAAGCGTGACATTGCATCTTGGCTTCTTTTTAATTTCTAGTATTATTACACTGATTCCTTTGCATCTGAAGTAACAATAATTTCTTATTTTTGAGTTTACTTTTATTAGGGCAGGACTTTTTTCCTTCAGAATTTGTTTATGATGTATAGTTTGTAGGGTAATTTGGCTTTGATTATGAGTGCATTAAGTGGCATAGTCTCTGTATGATTTCCTGAGTCATAAATAGCCTCAATGTGATGGCTTTCTCAAATGCCAGCTCTAGTAGTAATGTACTGGGCAAGTGAATGGACTCAGGGCCTCCTGAGTAGCTGGGATAGTGTGCACAATTGTGGTAGCAGCAGTTAAACAAATTTATCCCCTTCCTAAGCACTGTGGAATTGTATCAGCAGATGTTGTAATGGTCTGTGCAAGTTGCCCTCCCGGCCAGTGGGTGGTACTTTCATGTGAGAGCCAGCCACAGTGGTGACAGTGGAGTTTATACTTCAAATTTTTAACCAGGAGATGTCAGATGTCTTAGGCAATGAATGACTATGGAACTTCCAGAGATCCTTGCTCCATGTTCTGCTTCTGAGGCAGGTGTAGGGGGCAAGCCAAGCAGGACTGAGCCAGGAAAGCCCATGCTTGGGATTCCTAAGAGCTAGCACAAGGCTCACCCTGATGGAGGTCAGAAGACAGTTCTCAGGTCACTGGGGCAATGATCCAGGGAGAAGTAGAGCAACTACTGCCACACCAAAGAGTCAGCATGAGGAAAGAGGGGTGGCTAAGGCTCCACAAGCTAGCAGTGTACAGTGGGACCCACCTCATTCCTATGATCTTTGCCCGGTAGGACTCCTTCCTGTGGCCCACAGCTGGCCACAGCAAGCCAAAATAGCCAGCCACATCACAAGCAGTCTGTCTTCAGATTACAAACCTATCCCAGGTTAAAGAAGTCTCTGCCTAGGTGAAAAACCATGGCTCCCAGGCCATACCCCTCCCAGTCTGGTCCTGCAAAGTGAGGGGTTGCCCAGCTCCCAGGCCAGCAGCTGGAACCCATGCCACACTCACCACTCCACTTGAGAGTAAATCACCAATCACAATCTGGAGACTGTGTCTCTGGCCACTCCAGTGACATCATGAACAGCAGTCACTTTAAAACAGTGACTGCTGCTCGTTCTACTCTTGCCAGGGATGGGGAACATGCACGGGGAAATTCCTGATGACACTTTCTCTGGGCCTCCCCCGACTTCCCACATCAGCTCCAGTGTTTGGCAGGGCCAAGGAGCTCCCAGGTAGCCTTGATTGCCTGACTCCCCAGTGGGAATGTGTATCGTAGAAATCTTCTCTACCTTTCTCATGAACTGAGGCTTCTTCACTCACAGTCTTCTGCTGGGCTCACAGTGCAGTCTGCTATCTGCCATATTTTTCAAAGGATCTAAAGTTTCTTTTGCTTTTATCCTGAGCTCCCATGTTCCTTCTTGGGTAGAAGTTCATAATGTGAATCTCTATACACTATTTTGATATTTCCAAGTACATGATTTTTCTATCTCTTCGGTGCCTCTTTCAGTGATATAGAGTTAAAGCCAAGTACTATGAGGGCTCACCTGATTTTTGGTTCTTATGAAAGTTTTTTTTGTTTTCCCTATGTAGATAGCTGTGAAATTGATGTCCTTTTTGGGGATGGATGATCGGTGAAGCCTTCTATTCTACCATCTTGCTTCACCTCCAGGAAGTCCTTCTCCTCCCGTAAATTTTTAAAAAAATAATATTCAACAAACAGCACAATGACTTCTAGATCTTCTGTTGGGTATACTTCTCTACTTTTTTATCCCTTTCTCTCTCATGTGGAAGTGTTGAGAAAGTTCCTTAGAGGCCTCCAAACTTCCTGGAATTGCAAGTTAGTCTAGAACAGTTGTACCCAAGTTTCCTTCCCTCACTCCTTCACTTTAGGTCAGATGACTTTTCCAGTCTTTTCCAGCTCCCTTCCCATTTTCTGTCACTGGTGTTTCCCCTAATAAAAGTCTTCTACATTTAACTGCATCTTAGTGTTTACTCCTCAGAGGTCACAGACTAGCACACCTCCCCCTCCCCTTCCCCTTCTCTCTCCCCCACTACCCTC